TCTACTTCACAAATCTGCAGTGGAACTCACTCTCAAGTTAGTGTGTATGTAGCATTGCAGCCTTGAAGTTCTTAAATGTTTGTTATTGTTTTTTAAATGTTGAGCATTAAATAATCAAAGATTTCCCAGAAAGCAGTCATGGAATCCAGCCCTATGATTTTCTTGGTCAGATATCAGTCCCATTGAATTCAATGGGCATCCACCCTGATTAAGTGCATACAAGGCTACAACTCATTAGGTGACTTTCTAAGAGAATGCTCCATACATCTGCCCTAAGATCCACTGTAAATATGCAATCTTAACAAATAATTTTGACTGAGCCTAGGGCTTGCTGATCAGAAGGCCGGCGATTTGAATCCCTGCGACGGGGTGAGCTCCCATTGCTCGGTCCCTGCTCCTGCCAACCTAGCAATTCGAAAGCATCAAGTGCAAGTAGATAAATAGGTACCGCTCTGGCGGGAAGGTAAATGGTGTTTCTGTGCGCTGCTCTGGTTCGCTAGAAGCGTCTTAGTCATGCTGGCCACATGACCCAGAAGCTGTACGCCGGCTCCCTTGGCCAGTAAAGCGAGATGAGCGCCACAACCCCAGAGTCATCCGCGACTGGACTTAATGGTCAGGGGTCTCTTTACCTTTACCTTCCTTCAATGAGGAAAGCAGAAATTTATCTGTGGCAGTTTTGAAACACAACTATTTCATCTCTGGATAGAATACTACATTTTGAAAGAAGTCACATTTTCCTTGAGCATATGAATGAACCGATAATGATATCAAATTACGGACCAGAACGACTGGGTGCAACTTGCGTCTGAGCAATTTAGTAACAGAGTGGTGCATGATTACAACAGGAAAACAAAGTGGAAAATGTGTAAATACAGCTAAATTTAATTGATACCTAAATTAAATCTAATGAAATGGCCATGTTTTTCTAAACTCGTCAGTGTTATTCAGCCAAAAGCAAGTGTCTCAACCTTAAGTCCTCATCGCAATAAAAATTACACAAACTTTAGACTCTGGAGTATATGAGCTGCTTTTGTCTGTGTACAAGGCTGAATGCTAAGCAGCAGTGTTCAAGAGGAGCACGTCAGGGTCCCTTCCAACTCTGCAATTCTATTTGTTTCAGTTATTGGACAGAATAAAAGCAGTTTTCACATGTTCTTATCTTGTCCTCAGCAGTGCTATTGACAGAAGAGCAAGTGCCCATTAAATTCCTGCCGCTTAGCAGTACTTTCCAGCTAAGAATTTCTCCCCAGTACTCTATTCATAAGCAACTAAACACGACACTGACATGGTCTCCAATCTACAGTGTAGACTGACCCTATGTGCATTGCCAGGTTTTGAATGCACATTTTAATTCCCAAAAGCTCTGGTACCCATGTGGTTTGGTTGTGATAGCCAACAGCCAAGGGTTATTCCAGACAATACATTTAAAGGAACTGAGAGCAGAATCTGTAGATGCTTCAAGTCCTGAAACACACACTTGTAGGGAAACTCCCAAACTTTAGAAATCCAAATATACCTGAGAGCAGAATAATGTAATTATTAGACACTTATTTTCCCTTCCTGATAGGTCTGTGTCCTTGTTTTGTAAAACTACTTTTTTTTGTTTTGTTTCAAATATGAGTCACAACAAGGCAAATTTTCACCAAATGCCTTCATGAGAAGCATCACGCTTATTAAATCAACTGTGTTATTGATTCCTGCCCATCCCCTTTTGGGTGCAATTTGTCTAATCTTACATTTGATTCATTAAAATGCTCCCTGACTTTGCTTTGACTCCCCTGCCTTCTCCCGCTTCTAGATTACACAACTTGCTCGGTAGCTAGGGTTGCATGGGAAATGTTTGGAGTAAAAATCAGTTTCTAGGGGAAACTTTGCCAAGTTTTCATGTGGGATTCATCCAAGCACAGCTGCACATACCCAACCCAGCTGTTGATGATCCAGTGGTTGTATTTATTTATTGAAGCTATTTTTTTTTAATTGAAATATTTATTTATTATTTATTTATTGAAGCTATTTATTGAAATGAGGGTGCTAATTTCCCCCTCCCTTCTGGAAAAAAACCTCAGAATTTTGGAGTTACCAAAAACCATCAGAAATCAATAGCAGCACTTTTTGGTAACTCCATTGCGTCATCAGCCGACTGACCCTGTGAATGTTCTTTCCCCCCCTTTCAAAATGCGCAAAAACAAAAATAAAAATTCCTTCAGGTGTCCTCTTTCCTGTTTTCTATTCTTGGAAACTTTACAAATAGATATGTATCATTACAATTTATTCCAAGATGTTTAAAGTGACACTATTCATTGCACCAGGTGTTTCAGTGAATGTATGTGAGCAATTTTGAGTTGCACAGACTTAATCTGCTTTGTCAAGTGGGAAAGTAGCTTATTTTTAGCGAGGCTACTCAATGAAACTGAATTTTGTGTAGCCTAAAATAACCTGCATCTATATTTGCCTACAAAAAATTGATCCAAATAAAAGGCACTGTGTTTTTGCAGCTGTATAGATTCTGTGTTTCTCTCTCTGGAGGCAACACAGCGCGAGAAAAGTGTATCTGTTCTGCAGCACCATCTAGTGACAAGAAAGCAAAAAAGTTATAAGCAAACACTGTATGAAGAACATTTCTTCAGAATACAGTGGTGCCTCGCAAGACGAAATTAATCCGTTCCGCAAGAGTCTTCGTCTAGCGGTTTTTTCGTCTTGCGAAGCAAGCCCATTGACGGATTAGCGCTATTAGCGCTATCAGCTGTTTAGCGGCTATTAAAGGCTTAAAGGCTTAGGGGATTAGCTGCTAAAAGGCTATTAAAGGCTATTAAAGGCTTAGCAGATTAGATAAAGGGGAAAAGCGAAAAAAATCTCAAGACTCGCAAGGTATTTTCGTCTTGCGAAGCAAGCCCATAGGGGAATTCGTCCTGCGAAGCAACTTCAAAACGGAAAACCCTTTCGTCTAGCGGTTTTTCCGTCTTGCGAGGCATTCGTCTTGCGGGGCACCACTGTACACGAGGATTCAGAGTTGTTGATATATTGGATATTTGTGTGCCGAACAAGATCAAGTCTGTTTGCTTCGATGGTCCAACAACAGAAAATGCATTTGGCTTGTTCACCCAAACATACTTGGATATAATTTGTGTTATCATATGCCAGAGAGACAGTACACAACATGTTTGTTTTATTGACATATTGCACACAATAGCATCATGAAACTTGCTTGCAATTAAATTCACTTTCTATTTATTTTTTCCAGACCTAGCCGCCTAGTACCTTTTTGTATTACCTGATGGCAACCTGAATGGCAGGTGTTGTAGCTTGTTACATACAAAGTGTGGGTTAAGTTTTCTAGCTCTACAAATACATACAATGGCAACAATCCAGTAAATGATAATCACAGCTATGGACTGCTTTGCACACAGGCCCCCTGTGTATATGATGTACCCACACTAGAGTTGGGCAAGTGAGTCACTTGTACCTGTGTCCACACACCCACAAATGCATAGCACACAGAATGTAAAGTGTGATATGAGTCCAATGTCCTGTTTCCAACACTGGGCTTTGTGAAGTCCATAAGCAAGACATGACAAGACATAAGCAAGACCCTCTTCCCCTATTGATCGTCCACTGGCATTCAATAGAAGACTGGCAATGGACCTAGAGGTTCCATATAGCAATAATGACTAATATAATTCCATAGCCGCCTCCGTGAATTTGTCCCATCCCCTTAGAAAGCCACCATGCCTTGCATCAGTGAGTTCCACAGATTAAGTGCATTACATAAAGAAGTACAGTGGTACCTCGGGTTACAAACGCTTCAGGTTACAGACTCCGCTAACCCAGAAATAGTACCTCGGGTTAAGAACTTTGCTTCAGGATGAGAACAGAAATGGTGCTCTAGCGGCACAGCAGCAGCAGGAGGCCCCATTAGCTAAAGTGGTGCTTCAGGTTAAGAACAGTTTCAGGTTAAGAACGGACCTCCGGAACGAATTAAGTACTTAACCCGAGGTACCACTGTACTTCCTTTAGTCGAACAATTCACAGCACACTTGCATCTATGTTGCGCTTTCTGTGTAGGGGGACACACCTAGTTCACACATACAGGCCTGACGTGCAGATTTGCTCTTAAGTACTACTGAAATAAATGGAACCAAAATGGATAATGCATTGCCTTCCATAGGGCTTCCATACAACTGAAGCCGTGCATGGAGATAATTTCTGTACGGTTGGCAGTGTAAAATAGCACCATCGATCCCTGGCACACGTGCACTTTTTTTTTAGTACGTCTTCAATCTGGATTCAAGCTATACCTGGGAAATGGATTTCTCCTCTTATAAGAAAGATGTATGTACAGCAGTTGGAAACGCCCATTGACCAGTGTCAATGTGAAGAGAAGATACAGCAAAATAGTAGTGCAAAACTATCCCCCTGCCTAAGCCCTGCCATGTAAGGATCATGTTACTAATTCTTAAAAACTATTTTAATTAAGCAGAACACGTTAGCCTTCTTTAGCAACACAGCTCAAATCTTCTTGGTTTTGAAACAAGCAGGGTTTTCGCCCTACAACGGGCAATGCCAGCATCTGGCAGGTGCAGGATGGCACCTAGGTCTGCCTGCTTCTTCCAGGACTCGCTGAGAGTGGCTTATTCAGGATCCTTCTGATCTGCTATGAAACAAAAGCTCCACATCTCCATTACATATGTCCAATGTTCCACCTACTGCAACAGGACTGGGTCTAAACCGACCGTAGGAGGAAAAAGCTCTGACAAGGTTAGAGCCTCACATTTTCTTCAATACAATGTTCACATTGTATATTAAAATTAAGACAACAACAAGAAAGCAAAGCAGCAGTTGATGCATTTGTGGGGATACTGCCCATACTCCAGTTTTTTTTCTAAAACACATAGTAAATTCAAGCTAAAAAATATTTTTGTTGTTGTTCAAATATATAACAATTATTTGTATACAAATATAGTCTTCGTGATATGCGATTCCTCTTAAAATACAGGATTTTCTTAATAAGCGAGTCTCTCCCATCTCTGAATAAAGATATTAAATAAATATTCCAAGGAAGGTCCAATCAACTGCAAAATGGAACTGTATAAAAGAAGATCATCACAAAAGTCAATTCCTCTTTCATCCGTGCAGATGAACTGCTATTTTCATTTTTAAAATATGCTCCCCCCCCCCCCCATCAACCTCAGTAAGATTGCTAGAATAAGTTTGGAAGGTTTCATTTGAAGTGTAAAAATTCCCATTGTCATCTTTACCTAGACATTTTGTGTCCTAACCAGCTGTGTTCATCATGATCTGCATATTCGAAACTGTGACTTCCCCCTTTTCTCACTCACTGAAATGCAACAATTCTGTAGAATATTGCTTTTCCTTGACTTTTTATTTCCGAAAGCGCTCAGCAAAAGGACAGACCATTATTTACACTTGAACCTACAGTTTGTGTGCTTAGCTTCCGCTGACTTCAGGTCTAAGGGAGTCAACTGCTTATTGCATATAGTGAGTCTAATATAAATGAGATTCTTTTTTCCTTTTAAAAAATGCATAATCCCCTCACCTACTTACATGCAATGTAGGTTCATAAATGCTTGAAAATCTACTGAACAAACTTGGTCTAAAGGTGTCTACATTCGTCTAGGGCAATATTATAATTCTATTTAATGCAACTGACAAAATGCCCACTGATTTTCACTAGAGTGGCTTGATTCAAATAAATACAACTTAAGTAACTGATTTCGATTCAACTTTCTAATTGGTGTATGTTCTGAACAAGCATGGATGTTTTATAAAAAGCAATTTGTTTGCAACTGAATAGAACCTCTGTACTGTGTAAAAGAATGAACCCAAACGTCTGGCCATGTTTCCATGTCTTTTCCACTACAGAATTTAGGAGAAACTGTGAAATTCTTCCTGTTTGGTGCTCTCATTCTCCCACAAGTATAGCAGTTTTGCACACCAACCATCACTGACTTGAAAAGCCCAGCACTTTCAAGAACAAAAGCATGGTAATTGCTGTGTTCTTCCTGACACAGAAAATAAATGTCTCTGCTGTTTAGTTGACAGCCTAAATATTTATAATTTGTGTAATAATAAATATAATTCATGACCTGCATTTGTAACTCTTGACCTCAAACCACCCCAAAATGCATTTTTAAAAACCCTGGATTGTTGTTGTTTTTTACACAGAAAAGCAGGCTTTTCACTGTGTTTCGTAGTGAGCTATGGATTCAGTTTGAAAAGACGAGTGTAGACTTTGATGTGCTTGTTATGACATTCACATTATTTTTAAAGAGGCAGCTAATACAACTGAAATGTTTGGAAATTTTGATCATCCATCTTGATAAAATATCTTCCTATGTGCAGAAGAAGCAGAAGAGATGGGGGCAGCTTCAGGGGGTGGGGATACTGCCTAATGCACCAATCCTTCATAACCAAATTGGCCCTTGGAATGAAGTTTTTTTTGCAGAGATAGATACATATTCATGTGCTTGCTTTTGCACTTCTTTTAGTGGCAATTTTCAACAATGCCCTGTTCTGACATTTTCCCAGAATGCTTCCTGTTAAATTGCAACGAGACAGCACCTCGATAAATTTTCACAACCGGGTTTCTTGCACTTCTTCTTCGGTTTCTTCTTGCAAGGCACTTATTTTAGGCCTCGACATCCGTTTGCTTGAGCTCCTGGGATGCACCGGGAAGAGTCTGACACGATCTGAATGGCTGATGGCTTGACGGAAAGAATTCTTTTCGCTGAGCAGCTTCTGGATGGATTCGTATTGTGTGACTTTGTTCTCTTCTATCACCTAGTTAAGAAGAGGGTGGGTACAATACAGTTATAAAACAGCAACGTTTGGCTTGTGAATGGTTATTTTTAAGCCAATAATATAATTACAGGAATGAATTATGATTAGTAATTGAATTATCTACTCCATTTACATTCCACCCTTTGTGTTCCCAGGAAATCTTGCATTTAGACATTGCCCAGAGCCAAATCATCTTAAATTCAGATATAGGGCAGATCTACACTCATGGTTTTTAACACTAAAAGGGAATGGTTCTGATAACCATATTGCCATATGTCCTTTTTTCCCCAACGTTAATAATGTGTCATTAAAATGTGACACCAGAGGGTGCTGCAGAGCAAACCCCTTCCAGACACAAGGTAGACATTGTGGAAAGGAAGTGAAAGAGAAACCAAATGGGACTTTTCCCTGTCTTGATGTTTAAGAATGATATTTTTAATAGGTGAGAGTAGATACAGCCATAGTCAGGTTTGTTTTTTTCAGGGAGACCTCCTAGGAACTCAGTTCCGGCACTTTTCAGGTGGGTGCCATTGCCATTCTAAGAGAACGAGGGAGGTGATCATGGTGACTTGCGCCACCTCTTTTTCTAGAAAAATAGCACTGGTACAGTTACTTCAGGATACTTCCATGGGTCCAACACAGTGAGCAGAATTCCACTAACGCAGCACAATAACTTTGTATGCACTGTGGTAGGAAGGCACTGCCGGCTATTATACCTCGCTGGCTGCCCATATCATAGCTGTCAACTTTTCCCTTTTGTGCAAGGAATCCTATTTGGAATAAGGTAATTTCCCTTAAAAAAGGGGAAACATTGACAGCTATGGCCCATATATACATGCAGCCAATGCCTTTTCAGCCAATTTGAATCGCAGCAGCTGGCAGGAACTTGAGCCCGCTACCCAGGCGGCTAAGGGGAATTCCCTCAATGACCACTTGGCCATGTGCGTTCTGTTTTCACTGCCTGGGGATGGTGACTGAGAGCAAGGATCTGCAACAACTGCCCACCCAGTGGAAGGGGTAAGTGTCCATTGTATGCACGACAAAACCTCGTCCTCCTCTCCTCTCCCCTCTCCCACCCCCCAACCTTAATCTGTTCCAGGAGTTTCCACAGCCCTCCAGAACACATTTGGGATGGGCACAGAGCACATGTGCGGAGGGAAAATTCTACTGCACAAGCAATGCGTTGGATAACGCCCAGTATTTATATTGTTCCGCTCTGTTCATTAACAGATCCATTGCATGATATAAGGCATTCCATTTATTTGTATTTCACTAGGTAGACTGCCTTGTGCAACTGCTCAGAGAAGATATTATAATATGAAAAGAGTAATTTTTGCACCCTTCCTTCCTTCCTCCCCCAAAAAGTTCACATCTGTGTGCACAAGAAATGAGGGGCAATAATGGGGGGAAAGCACTGGAACTTGGAAAACGTTTACCATTTAAAAAATGTGTCTACCTGGGAAGCTATTCTATCTACCTAGTGTGCATGAGTAAGAGAGAGAAAATGCGGCTGTGAAAAATGTTGCATGAAACAGTTTGTGCTGTTGTTGACTTATGTGTTCTCGCTATCAGAACTGAGAAGTGAAACTGTAAATCATGTATTAGACAGTTGTGTCCAGGACAGTTAGTACTTTGATACAGAACTTGGCATTTCCTTCTTCATATCTCCCTTTTATAGAAGTGAAAGAATTTGGAAGATGAGCAGTATCAAGCCAGCTACTATTGGCATTCGAAGTGATGATCAGTTTCCTTCTGAGACTCCAGAAACACAGTTCCTAACATAACTTGCTAGGTTCTTGAAAAATTCTCCTCTGCTTTATAAGGAAGGAGAAAATACCTTAGCATAGCATACTTTGCTCTCCAACTATTGTCTATATTTATTTAATGCTTTTATAAGTCACCTCCTGCCACAAGGTGACCTGAAGCAGTTTACATAGAGCAATCAAAACAATATAAATGAAAATCCCAAAATACAGTTTAAACCAGGCAATAAAACAATTATGAGCAACAAAACTAGTAACAGCAACTCAAGTGTCAATAAGCATCTTGTTTGAAATACTCTATGTGCCCTTTGGCATGATTGTGTTGATTATTCGGGGAGGGGGAATGCCTACAGTACATTGTGCATTTCCATAAGTAAGTCTTATGGGATAGCACAGAACGCAAACATTGTGCTATCAAAGAATTCCTCTAAAAAATGTGTATTTCTGGATTAAGCTCAAAAACTAGACTTCTGGCTCCAAAGGTGCACCATATTTTAGGAAGTGTGACTAGCGGTGTTGTTACATATGCTTTGTAAACAGCCATTTCATGCAAAAAAAAAATTTAATTAAGCACATATAATTTGCACCTGTTAGAACATAATGTTGGTTGGGATAGAAAGTTTGCACATGTCCATGATGTCTTTGGACCAGAGCATACAAACACAGCTTGCGATATTGCAGGGCCTGCTATTCAAATGAAAGAAGTCCAGAACAAACACCACTGGACATGCTCCAAGCCCTTAAAGGTAAAGGTAAAGGGACCCCTGACCATTAGGTCCAGTCGTGACCGACTCTGGGGTTGCGGCGCTCATCTCACTTTATTGGCTGAGGGAGCCGGCGTACAGCTTCCGGGTCATGTGGCCAGCATGACTAAGCCACTTCTGGCGAACCAGAGCAGCGCACGGAAACGCCGTTTACCTTCCCGCCAGAGCGGTACCTATTTATCTACTTGCACTTTGAGGTGCTTTCAGACTGCTAGGTGGGCAGGAGCTGGGACTGAGCAACGGGAGCTCACCCCGTCGTGGGGATTCGAACCACCGACCTTCTGATCGGCAAGTCCTAGGCTCTGTGGTTTAACCCACAGTGCCACCCGCGTCCCGCTCCAAGCCCTTACTCGTGCCTAAAAGTAGCTATTTGGATCTACCTTGGACATCGCGCCTAATTCTTGACAGGCACTCACCAAATATCGCTGGCATTCCATTAGTGCTTCTAGCCTGTGTTCTGAGAGTATTACTGTACAGTTTGCAAAAGCCTGCTTGAGAGTCTTTTTAATGACTTGGAAAGTCCTGAAAGGTAAACGAGTTTTAATATGCAGAAGAATGAAATATAAACTTTTGGTTACATGCAGTTGACACTTTTACATTATTTGCTAGGCTTTTTACAGCATTGCAATAGGGAAGTTTCAGTTCAGATGAAATGTCAGCATGACGCCTACTGTTGCTACAGTGACTACTCCTGCAATGCGACTACTGAAGTAGTCGCTCAGTATTTTGTTCTGAAGTAACTGTTTTCATTCGCTTCTTGCCTTGACCAGACAAGGTTGGAAAAAGGTCAATATCTGCTGTAGGAAACCAGAAGGGGTATGCTGGCATTGCAGAGTTAAACCACCTTGATAGTGATTTCCTCTCCTAAGGCAACCCCAAGAATGACCAGGATGGTGAGGGTTCCTATAAGGAATGGTTAAAAGAGGTAGGGGTGTTTATTCTGGAGAAGAGACATGATTGCTGTCTTCAGAGAACTGCAACACTTTCCTCGCTGCAAGAAGTGAAATGACAGGGAACCAGGCAGAGGGCCTTCTCGGTAGTGGCACCTGCCCTGTGGAATGCCCTCCCATCAGATGCCAAGGAGATAAATAACTACACAACTTGTAGAAGGCAGCCCTGTATAGGGAAATTGTTTAAATATTTGATGTGCTATTATGCTTTTATATTTGTGGGAAGCTTCCGGAGTGCCTGGGAGAAGCCAATCAGATGAGCGGGCTACAAATAACAATAACAATAATAATAAGCACAGCACAAAAAAATGGGAGAGGAGCTTTCTCTGTTGGTCTAAAGGGGAGGACTAGAACTAATGGGTGGAAATGCCTGGGAAACAGATTTTGGCTAAATGTTAGGAGAATCTACCCAATGGAACAGGCCATTTAAAAGTGGAATAGACTGCCTCAAAAGGTGGCAAGTTCGCTTTCACTGGAAGTATTTCAGCAGAGGTCAGATGGCAAATGGCAAATGTAAAACAAGGAGAATTATTATTATTAACATGATACTGTTTTATTCTATTCCGGTATGAAAACAACTGGACAAAATATTTGTCTCGTACTTACTTAGGATCAAGATGAGCACTTGGTTCATCCAGAAGAAGAATTTTTGCTTTGCTGAGAATTGATCTGGCAAGACACATTAATTGTTTATGTCCATGGCTGAGGACACAGCCACCGTCCAAAAGGACAAAATCAAGCTTGCCTGGAAATTGCTCTATTACAGATTTCAGTCCAACCTGAAGGAGATAAGAATAGGGTTGGGAGGCAGTGGGAGATAAGCATTCTGTTTCACACAAATTGGTTTTCTTTCTTGCAAAAGTTATGACTATTTGGCCTTAATCCACAGCACTAGGCATCTAGACCCACATGATAAGGGTGCAGACAATTTCATTCTCAAATAACACCCTCCTGCGTCACACGATAAGATGATATTGGAAATGGACTTTGAAAAGTTTGATGTGTTAGCCAGGTTGCCTGGTTTAGGGACATCTCCTAAACAATGACTTCTAGGTTACAAATGCTACAGATTATAGCCACAGAAACAGAACACAGAGATGCCATCTCAGGAATGCTCAGAAAACAAAGGAGTGCCCTGCACTCCTCCCTTTGATAGTTTAATAGGTTCAGTTCAGAATAAACAGTAATATATACTTAAGGCCTAGAGATCCATCAGAAACAGTGAGCTTATGTTGAAATCTATTTAATCTGTGAGTAATAGTAATGATATATACACCAACACATAATTTATATCATCACAACAATTGTTCCTTCTTAATAGGAAACACTGACTATAATTTGAAACCTGCTTTAACAGTCAAGGTAGGCATGGCACAGCACTGGATTCAGCCAATTAACCACACTTACACTAGATAAAACCTCTAAATGTGTGTGTCATCCATTTCCCATAACTGGTCATCTGGAACAAATGGTCGCCATTTTTAAATGTCTACTGTGGTCAGTGGGCCTTATCAGAATTCCAATTAGACACAAAGGGGATTACGCCGCGTAACTGAGAGCAGCACAAATTTATAAGATTAGTAAATAGTATCTTTTGACGTACTATAGGGACACACATTTTATGAGCTTCAATTAATAGCCAAGTTTCTCTTTTTTAAAAAGACCTAACATTCACATTCAGCAGGCACTCTCACTTATACTGTTTTCGGCACCCACTAAAACCTTTGTTTTAGCAAGTCTATCCAGACACATAATTTAGCTATGTACAGTGGTACCTCGGGTTAAGTACTTAATTTGTTCCGGAGGTCTGTTCTTAACCTGAAACTGTTCTTAACCTGAAGCACCACTTTAGCTAATGGCGCCTCCCACTGCTGCCGCGCCACCGGTGCATGATTTCTGTTCACATCCTGAAGCAAAGTTCTGAACCTGAAGCACTATTTCTGGGTTAGCGAAGTCTGTAACCTGAAGCGTATGTAACCCGAGATACCACTGGATAGCTGCTTTTAATATTTTCTGATGTTATCTGTGAATTATGGTTAATTATTTCAGGTACACAAAGGGGAGATTTATTTTACTAAGCGATTTATAAATAAAATTAGTAGGAACAGACACCTTGCATAGACTGCACATATTAGCATACTTGACAGCCAAATTCAAAGCTGGATAATAGGGGCCATTTAATTGGATTTAATCTAAGGTGTCCACACCGACAATTTTTCATGTTATCCGCTGCTCTTCCTAAGATACTTAGCTTGTAGTATTTGTATTACATCATGCGCTCTCTCTCAGTGACAGCTATACTTAGAGGGATTCTTCCTCCATGCTTGTAATCTATTTTCAAAACAGGCACAAAGATTGGGATAGTGCCATTTATTAATAGCGCTGCACTCTTAAATAAATAGTGCTACGCTCTTCTCTTCCAGTAGGTATATCTGATCTCTGTGTTACTAAATTACTCCCCTCCTCCACCAAAACTGCCCCTGCCCAGGACACCCCTGTAAATGGCTGATAGGAAAGAAGCCCAAATTTCAAAAATAAACCAACCAATCAAGACAAATCTTTAAAGGTTTGTAGGTTAGATTTATTGCATATTCTTTTGTACTCCTTAAGATGATAGGAATTATTTTTTAAAAAACAACAACAACCTGTTAATATTTTAAATACAGTGATTCACTATCTGATTTATATATTCCTGAGAAAAAGAATTCAGCTGCTTCTCTCCCTCTCCGTGTGTGTGTGTGTGTGTGTGTGTGTGTGAAGCATATCTTCGTAAGTGCTTCAGTAAATAGATTTTCTATCTTCTTTTGAGGTTTGCCTCACTTTATTTATGAGTGGTGACCCACATTTTCAATCATATATTAAAACGTATTTAAAAGCGGTGCTGTGCTACAACATCTTAACAGCAGGCACCCAACTAGATGCTTTGGCAAAAAGAAGTGTTTGTGCAGATGTTGAATGAGCTTGAAAAGGCAAAGAAAAAATGTTGTGAAACTGCAAATGAAGGCTATGAGGTAATACTAAGAAGATGTGGTATGAACAGTTATGGAAGCAAAACACACACACAAATATAAGAGGGGGCAAAACAATGATGGAAGACATGGCCCGATCTAATTTAAATCAAAGAGTTACAGTGGTACCTCAGGTTACATACGCTTCAGGTTACATACGCTTCAGGTTACACACTCCGCTAACCCAAAAAGTGCTTCAGGTTAAGAACTTTGCTTCAGGATAAGAACAGAAATTGGGCTCCGGCGGCACGGCAGCAGCAGCGGGAGGCCCCATTAGCTAAAGTGGTGCTTCAGGTTAAGAACAGTTTCAGGTTAAGAACGGATCTATGGAACGAATTAAGTACTTAACCTGAGGTACCACTGTATTGTGAAATAACTTTTTTATAATAGTTCAATCATCCTCTTTAAACAATGTGCTCTGTGATCTATGATCCTTGAGAGGTGGTTCAATGAAGCATTGGATCTCCCTCTCTAAAGATGGAGCGAAAGGTCCAACTGCCACCCTGGAAACTTCCAGAGAATTTGCTTTCCAAATATCTGAGCTCTGAAAAGGAGTGGGCCAGGAATGGATGGATCCAGATGGTTCATAGCCTTCCCAGTTTGCCAACGCATCTCCAAACCACAGAAAAGAGTATGCCAACCCTGTAGTTGGCATTCTCTATTTTCCTTCCACTGAGAGAGAAATGGCCTTACATCAAAGGGATTCTGAGGCATATTCTGTGTCCCAGTTGGGAAAATTTACTCCGCAATCTCCTGCTGCTGCTTACCTTGTATGTGGTAGGATCCTGTAGGAGTGTTAGTGAGACTTTGCAAGGAAGTGGTCTAGTACAGAAAATCAGGACCCTGGTCAGCTCCCCGTGGAGGCAACTCCCACTGGGTAGGAGTGCCAAATGCATGTGGCCTTGGAAAAACGTTTGGACAGAACTGAGGAAGGCACAGCCTTGAACCTGCTTTCAAGCAGATGCTACAAGGTGTCAGGAGCTTGTCCTACACTCGAGTAGGACCCTGGCAGAGACACATGCCTGACTGGCATGTTCTCTCCCTCCTGGTCAATCATTGGGAGAGTCAAAAGCTTTCTTCAGCCCGAACATCACAGTGACCGATGCCAACAGACATCGGGACACTTAGCGATCCGCAGAGTCTTTGCAACTTGCGTGACAGACCTCAGCAACTCAGCATTTTGGCTAATCTAGTTTATTTACATATAAACACACACGGAGCACTGCAACATGGCTCCCTCTCTCTCTACCATCAGACAGCAAAGAGAAAGAACAAAGGACAATAGTCCCACTTCACAGAGCACAGTAACACAAACATCCTGTCACTTCCCACTTTGTGGAATCAAAACATACACCGTCATGTGAAAGACAACAATCCCATGACTGCAATCACAGAGCAGGAATTCTAACACAAGGAACTCTTTCAAGTCCTCAACTGGAGCACTTGAGAAAGGCTAGAACCATTTTGGGGTGAATGGGAGGACCACTGGCCACTCTCTAATCTAAGTCTTGTAATTACAACCTACTGATACACTAGTACCCAGCCAAATGAAATAAACTGGATAACCACTAGGCATTCAGGGGGAGTGGCATCCTGGTTATGGAATAGACTTTTTGGAAATGTTCACTTGGCTCCATTTTTATGATCTTTTCAGTACCAGGTGAATACAATCCTTATTCACCCATTATTATGTTTCATAATTTATGTTAGTTTTGAACTGAGTTTTATACTGTGTTTCAGGTTGTTGTTGTTTTTAAAAAAAAACATTTTTTTTCTGTTTTTTATGGTGGTTTATATTGTATTTTAATGTTGTGCTATTTTATTTCATTGTCTTGTGAGTTGCCCAGACAACTTCTTTTATGGGGTAGCTATATAAATATAGCAAAAAAGCAAGTAAGTAAGTAAATAAATACATATATTTCTGCTTCCTTACCTGATCAGCAAATGAATTGAATTACATATGATTACAAAGTTTAAAGTAGTTTTAAAAATGCACAAGCCAGACATACTAAATGAAAATGAGCAACAAATATTTGCAGTTGTCCACACCACCCTTTCCTTAATGAGACGGCAATTTATCTAGGAGAAGGAAAAAGTCTGATCCGCAACATCTTATCAGAGGGGAGTAACAAAGTTATTGGGCCATCTTGGCTGGATCCAGACACATCAAAAAAAGTTTCAGTTAAACGCGTAAACTTTGTATGAGAAATCGGGTTGGCAAAACAAAACTCCCAGCGCCATCTGGTGCCACAGTGTTATAATGCATATACAACACATATAAAGCGCTTTTTCTTTGCCAATGTAGCTGAGTCCCTTGTCATGCCTTGACCACTTGGGAATTATATTGCTCTCCCTGAAAACATAACTAACAAAGATGGGCATACCTACCTCCTCAGCAACTTTCCATAGTTCTTCATCAGTCCACTGTCCATAAGGGTCCAAGTTCTTTCGAAAAGATCCAGAAAATATGAACACTTTCTGTGGAAGTAGAACAAAACAAATTTAAAAAAAACCTGTTAGCAGAATTTATGTGGAAGAGCTAAGGCTATAGCTGATAAAACAGCCATTTTCTGTTCCTCTTCAAACATGACTTTGGCTGATTAACATCCTATTCCCTTTTAAATGTGTTAGTGGAAGCAGGTGGGGGATGGGTATGGGGTCGCAGCTCTCTTCTC